CATAAGTACACGCACCCTTTTTTTTTGTTTAATACAAAGCTATAAACACTACTTCCTATAGTAAAACTCCTACACTATTACTCTGAGACGCTCTCATCCTATTGACCCAGAAGCGACCTAATTGCCCCCTCACCCCCTCCAATCCAAATAATTTCCTCCCCATCAAATTGTATTGTGCTCGGAATGTTATTATTTTTCTGTTTTCGCTCCATCCCTATGTCAAATCTTATATCTCCACTAATTCGTTGATTTACTAATAAAGAAATGTTCCATTATATTTTCTTTGTATTTTTATGCCTAAAGTATTATTAGATAAAGATAAATCTTCTAAGCAATCCAATTTTGTAGTAAAGAAACAAGTATGTACTGTTTTAGAACTAGTAATTGTGTTGTTTGACAATCATAAACAAATCTATCTATGTATCTAGACGGCTTAAAAATCTGAAAAATACAAACAATTTTATTTGAAACTTTGTTTAATAATGCATAGTTCCTAGGTATGTGGATTTTGCTCATTGACGTGACGGGCTTAACGCAAATTTAACGGAAGTTTCGACCAGTATTCGGAATACCTTCCGTATCAGAAAAATTACCAAAATTATTGTAACATAAGATGCGTTGCGTGGGTGTATTTGGAGCTAACAAGACACACATCGTTCCTATAAAATAAAGTAGAAAAAAGTAAAATAAACTATACTTTCATTACTGCATTTCGGCAAACCAAGAGCTAGTGACCCACTAGCGCTACAGGAATTTGTATGAGAATGACATTAGCTCGTGCTTTGTCACGTGACCATTTTCATACAAATTCGTTTGGCATTAATGGGTCATGCCTGTCGAAATGCGGTTTTGTCTCAAACCCCAATTAAAATTAAAACTATTAATATTCTGTGTTTATTTGCCTTTGTTTTCCGATTTCGTGAAATTGGCCTAATGAGTAATGTTTCACTTCCCGCAACCCCAAAGAAAGTACAGAAATATATCTAATCTATCTAGTTAATTGCTAAATTTTTCGATAAACTTTCGTAATAAAACCGAATTTTACAAACAAGTCGAGAATAACAAAACAAGCTTAATCCGTGGTAGCTCGTTATTAAATAAATTACTATTGAAGATTCATCAAAACAAAACTTCCTATAATTTAGTTCTTTGGTTTCAAAAACACGCCAAATAATTAAGGAAAACGTAAACATCTAAGCATTGTTTTGTAATTTCTTATTCCGCTCACGGCTGATTACTAAAGCTTGTTATCGGCTAAACACTCCCTTGTTAATTTAACAAAAGATTAAATTAGCATGGGATAATTTTCTTATAAGGAAATATTTCTGGATTCAAAATGAAAGTCGTAAGCTTAATTAACTTAACCACATTATCAGTAAGGACACAGGATTATATAAAATGAAGTCCGAATAGGTTTTTGTAAATTTGTTTTCACTAATAGGTTTTGGTATATAATATGTACATTATTTAAAAAATAACTGAAATAATATAGGGTCTATTGTTGAATAGGCCGCTAAACATCTTGCCACGAATACGAAGAAGGGGAAAAGATGCTATCAACACTATTCCCTTGTAGTTGCAATTAAAATTTAATACGCAATTTAATAATAAAATATTTTTTTATAATATAAGAAAATTTGACTGACTACTAGAAAAAAACCCACAAAAAGCGCGGGTCACCAGATAAATCTATTACGAGTAATTTGTCATAGACTAGGAATTGTGCTCTTTACAGAAAATATTTAAATGGAAACTACTTGGCGACATAAGCTTCGAAGAATTGTACCATGGTGAATATTTTATCGCTTCATTAAAGGTGGGAACTGACCAACGTTACGAGGTGTAATGTAACACGTTACACAGCGAGCATACGTGCAGTCAGTACGGCGTGTTACGGGGAAACCAGCGAGCAACGACCCGCTCGTTGCTCACTTTGAGTGCTCCACCCGGCTGTCGGTTTTTTGGCGAATCCTTTGACTGTTACGCGGTTCAGTAATTACGCGTCGCACATCGCGAGTGATCATGATTATGATTTTCTATAAATTGTGTCTTTTTTAAGTACTTTTGGTCCAATTAAATTCAACAGTTCTTCAAAATCGAGACCTGCGTACAAAGTTTTTATACTGTCCAGTAATCATTTGGTTTTTAATATTGCAATCAATAACAAACCACCTCATACGCCTGTGTTTTCAAATAAGTTTTATGTCCAGTAACATTTTTTCTTCTTCTTAATTTGGATGAAACAATAATTAAATAGAATGAAAGATATCAACATTATCACTATCAAGCATCTCGTGAACACTGGCGGCGAAAGTGGAGCACTGAATTTTGACGAGCATGTTACGCCGATTTTAGAACACAGCGTAACATGCTCGATGCGTAACACGCTCGATGCGAATGCTACATTACACAGCGAGCATTCGTGCAGTACGTCGTGTTACGGGGAAACCAGCAAGCTACGAGCGGCTCGTTGCTCGCTTAGAGTGCTCCACCCGGCTGTCGGTTTTTTGGCGAATCCTTTGACTGTTACGCGGTTCAGTCGATAGGAGACATGCGTAAAAAGTTTTTATACTGTCCAGTAATCATTTGGTTTTTTAAAATTGCTATCAATGACAAACCACCACATACGCCTGTGTTTTTAAATAAGTTTGATGTCCAGTAACGTTTTTTCTTCTTAATTTGGATGAAACAATAATTAAGTAGAATCAAAGATACCAACGCGTCCTCGCTGTCGGCGATGAGCCATCTCGTGAACACTGGCGGCGAAAGCGGAGCACAGAGTTTTGACGAGAATGTTACGCCGATTTTAAAACACAGCGTAACATGCTCGATGCGTAACACGCTCGATGCGAATGCTACATTACACCTCGTAACTTTGGTCAGTTCCCACCTTTAGAAAAACACATTTTATGTATCTCAGTTTACAGCTGTTATCTAATTTCTTAAGTAGAACGTGAATGTGTGTTTCATAGTGACTAAAACTTTGACCTTTTAATCCCTGGTGCAAAAAGGGGATGTTATAATATTTACGCGATTGTCTATGGTATCGTAGTTCCGAAAGGACCACTTATGATGCTTACGTGATCGATTCTTAGCTGTTTAAAACTACATTCTCTCATCAGCTGTGTTAGATGCGGCAGCAATGTACTCCGGCAATCCATTATTCAATCAATGTTTTTGTAACTTTTTTTAAGATATCGATTATAATATTGTCTCTTAGTTCAGATTTCTCTATGGAGTGTCATAGATATACGGAATACACAGAACTCTTGCCTAGTGGTGTACAAAAAAACTTTTCGACACAATACCTTTTAAAATATTATGAAATATTATTAAAATATTATTAAACTCACCGATGTCCAGATTAAGCATACTTATAAACGAGCTAGGTCTGGATATACATAGTTGCTCACCTCACAGTATAAAATGGATTTTTGTTTAGTTTTTTTTGTAATTAGAATTTTTTCTTTGCTAAGTAATTCTTTTGTTTGGTTTTTTGTAATCAGAATTTTTTCTTTGATAAGCAATTGTTTTTGTTTTGTAATTTTTTTTTTTGTTTTGTAATGTTTGTTTTGTTTAATAATCTCTTTATGATCTCTATATATGTATGCTATGTTTGCCTATAAGTGCTTGTCACATTAAAAATTGTATTTTGTGTTTGTTTCTACCAATGTGCCGAGCGTTGGCAAGCTTTATCAATAAAAAAAAAATAAAAAAATATTATGAGGGTTAAAAATGAAACACATATACGTATAAAACTTATATTTAGAAAATAACCCTTCGCACCATTCAGAACCAAAAAACCCTACAATGTGTTTTTGATCAACTTAAACTATACTTCTGTTAAAAATGAAACACTAATTACGATGATTTTATAGCCAATTACCAAGAGTTAGATTTATACTCTGACATTTGAGTGTCTATTATGACGTCACAGATCATTTTATGTATTAAATCTACGTCATCAAAATGTTTTTTAATATCTATTATAAAGAAGTTTGATCATTCATAATAAATTTTCAGCAAAAACCCATAATCCCAAATCACCCTAATCTTATTAAATGGGGCAACTATTTTTGAAAGTATTTTAGGCAGCGAACGCAAACGAATTTGTATGGAATTAGTGACGTCACAAGCGAGAGCTAAACGCCATACATTTTTCACATTTTATGACAAAATACTATTTTCGTAGACAATAATCGCAATACATATACAATATTACGGGTTTTATAATATGAATGGACTATATATTCATAAACCTTCAAAGCCGTATAAAGGTTTTTAGTAAACGAGAATGTTTACTTTAATTTTGCAAAAAAACGACTTATACTAACAGTAAATATTGTTCTTTCAGATATGCTAAATAAGATACAGGTATTTCATCAAACACATTAAAATTTGACATAAATTTATTATTACTTTGAGGCCATAAGAATCATCACGCGTGTACTTCCCTTCCTTAACAGGAACTATGCGTGTTTTGAAACGTTACAATAAACAACATTTTGGCGCGCTTTATCTATGACAATTAATAGATGACGCAAATTTGATTTAAGAACGCAATACAAAGATTTTCAGCAATGGAATGAAGTTCAATTCGAATGCTCTGAAAGTCCATAGATTGCATTGGATTTAAATATGGAATAGATAAAAAATATTGAAGGGCGAGTAAAAATTTTAGTAAAAATTCGACATGCAAAAATTTTGACAGATCGTAACCATGGTAACCAACGATTTTATTTTTAGTGGACATTTCAAAATAAGATCGTCACGATATCATCATGCGACATGCATTATGCTTGCTTCACGCTTATTAAGTTTCATAGTCAAAAAACAAACTATGAAACCCAAAATGATTTTGACGTATGGAAGTCATACATGCTTAAGTCGTGACTTTGAATTCATTATTTTTCTTCTAAACATTTTAATTTCAACTAAAATTAACGTAAAAAAATTTTCAATCACACGCATATTCCGTTCTATCTACAAATCAATGCTAACTAAAGCTCGTATTTGTTCTTCAGTTCATTTATCACGTCATCGCTAAGACCCTCCTTTGTTTTACAATGTACCAGCATTTTATTGACCACTGAAAAAAAATTCAAAATTAATTATAAAAATTACCTTAAATTTTGTGTTATTTAAATAAAGCTAAATAGATGATACACATATTATTATTTTTTTAAGTCTAAAATAATTGAAGTGAAACTTCTTTATCGAGGTTGGAAAAAAATTTGTAGCAAATCGTCACGTTTTTCAATGATAGTAATAATTCTATTACAATTAATGAAATTCTATAATAATCTTCGTAGTAAGAAGGTAAAAGAAATATTTGTATTCATGTCTATGATAATAAAAGCCTTTTGTTAAACTTTATCTAATTTAACGAATTTCTGTAAAGTTGCATATAGTAGATCATTTTTCGAAAAATAAGATCATAAAGAAGTTTCACTTCTTACGTGTGTACACCTAGTACACGCACAATTTATTTTTATAATAAAAATTAGATGATCACTTATAGATTAATTAATAAACACGCGCACACATTTTGTATTTAAAATTTGTATGTATGTGTATTTTAATAATTAAATAGATAAGTTCAAATGTGTGTGTGTTCTGTGTGTTTTTTGAATCAAAATCAATGAAATAAATACTTACAAAGTTTATCATTATCAGCCAAAAACATAGCTAAAGCGGAAAATCTCTTAACGCGTGTGAAGGCTTGAAGGTAAAGACTCAGACCTCGTGTGTATCTGTCCTTATATTCGTATAATGCACTCAATAATTCCGATAAAACATCACTTTCTAATGCATTCGCAAATATCGATGGTATATTTGTTGGATCGATTATCTGAAAAGCACATCATTTAATTAGTATTAGAAAAATATAGTAGCAAATAAAATTACCCCCACCGGAATAAACTTGGAATATCTCAAAGAACCAAATATTATGAAACTTGGTCTGTTCCTTGAGTTGGATATCCTGAAAGATATTGAGGAAAGGAATTATGAATCATACTAGAACTTATTTCCAAAGAAATTGTAAACAAATCGTGTAAACATTCTTTTTTAAAGACGTCTAAAAGTTGCTTTTGTCCAAAAGAAGACATTTTTAATCAGAAATAATATTAATAACATTTTTTTAAACAATTATAGAACGAGCAGCATACGAGCAGGAACGTTACCTGATGTTAAGTGATATCGCAGCATTCAATGCCAGAGGGCTCGCGAGTGCATTGCCGGCCTTTTATTGTTATTATAGTCCAAACCAATCAGTTTTATGCTTAGGATGTTAATAATATTTCGCTTAATAATTACAACTAAATTAAATTTGATATAGGAAATGCTGACTATGCTGATTATGTTAGAAATGCTGTTTATGCTAGAAATGTTGACTATGCTAGAAATGTTGACTATGCTAGAAATGTTGACTATGCTAGAAATGCTGACTATGCTAGAAATGCTGACTATGCTAGAAATGCTGACTATGCTAGAAATGTTGACTATGCTAGAAATGTTGACTATGCTAGAAATGCTGACTATGCTAGAAATGCTGACTATACTAGAAATGCTGAATATGCTAGAAATTCTAGAAATGCTGACTAAACTAGTAATGCTGAAAATGCTAGAAATGCTGAAAATTATTTGAATACTTATTTCAACTTTTCCATGATTAAATAGAAAGACACATTTTACAAAAAAACGGGTTTAAACGCTGTTTTAGTTAACCTATGCTTGCTGAAGCCAACACTGGTTTAGAATTTTTTAAATTTTGACATTATACGCGTTTATATTTGGTAAAAAATGTCAAAACGCCGATATGTTTTACAATTTAAAATCAAAATAAACACATGTTTTAATTCTGTACAAAATGTAAATAAAATAAATATTTATAATACTCACATTTAAGTAGTTACTCCTTGCCTCAACCGAACCCTTCAAACACTTCCATTCATTCATAAATTGAACACTATTCACTGGCGGGACCATTTTATCCATAGATTTAATTTCGTTTGAATTAATTTCTATATTATCGCCTTTAGCTGACAGAGCACAGTCTTTTGTTTCATCTGAGTTATTATTGGTGTCACCTTGGGCTAAATTGTCGATTGTTTTGGCTTCAACTTTGGGTACTGTGCAGCCAAGGGGTATTTCTTGTATGGTTATGTGTTTTAAGGCTCTCTGAAAGTCAAGTTAAAATTTCTATAAGTGACATTTCTATTGAAAAAACAATGTTTGTACAGACAACCATTTTGATTTTTAACGCCAGCTGCTGAAAAAGCATGAGTCATTGACCCGTTATGCTCATTGTCCCGTTACGCTCATTGTACGCATGCACCGCAACTATCTCTCTTCCACCCGAAGAAGTATGCAATCATTTCATCAATGTTTTTTATGACGTTGTCACGTTAAACTATCGTCCATAAACTTGACTTTACAGCCAACCATTTTTTTTTCATATATTCATATATCTGGATTTTTTTAAATTATATATATGGTATTATAAAGTTTACCAAGTCACCCATTAGTTAGTTTTAGGGTAAGGTTCAGAGTCGACTGTCGACTAAGTACAAAACTACAAAAAAAATTGTGATATTTCTTTTCTTAATAGGCAAGTGAATTAGCCTTCTGTGTCCGTCAAATCGTCGACTTTTTGGGTCTGAGCCGGTTTCCTCACGATTTTTTACTTCACGATATGAGCGAGTGTTAACTGCGTACATAGTTGGTCCCAAAGTTCTGTCACTAGCACATTATTTCTACATTTCGAGCAGGATTTTATAAAAAAATTATTGCATTCTATTTTGGAATATTTGATTATTGTTTTAAAACAAAAAACAATAACTTTCCGTAATTTTTCACGATGGAGTGGACATTGAAAGTAAACCGAATAGTTGTTATTGCGTTGCACCGCTGTGGACACTCGCCGAGTACCATTTTCAAGTTGCTCAAAAATTTGAATATAACGCTTAGGTTTGTGTACGGTACTATTGATAGGTACCTTGAAGTCTCCAGTGTTGAGGACAAGAAAAGAACTGGCTGGCCACGCTCCGCAAGAACACCAGCAGTAATCAAAGCTATCAAGGCGCGGATAGTAAGAAATCCTGTCCGAAAACAGAAGTTGATGGATTTGCAGATGGGTGTCAGTAGGAAAACAGTAAAAAAGGTTTTAAATGAAGATCTTGGTCTACGAGCATACAAAAAAGAGTGGGCACTTACTTAATGCTCGTCTAAAAGCAATAAGGCTTAAGAGATCGCGGGTGTTGTTTAAGCGGTACGCGAAAAACCGACACCGTGATATCCTCTTTACGGACGAAAAATTTTTCGATATTGAAGAGAAGTACAATAAACAGAATTATACAGTGTACGCTAAGAGTTCTGAAGAAGCTGAAAATAAAGTTCCAAGGGTGCAACATGGACATCATCCATCATCAGTAATGGTTTGGTTGGGAGTGTCCTATTACGGGCTAACTGAGGTAAATTTTTTCGAAAAGGGGGTCAAAACCAGTGCTACAGTGTACCAAGAGACGGTTTTGTATCACCTTGTCAAAGACATGTCCAGCACCCTATTTGCGGGACATCACTTCGTGTTCCAGCAGGACTCTGCGTCTGCATACAAAGCCAAGACCACTAAAGCCTGGTTTGAGCGTCAAAACATCGTCTTAATTAGACATGAGGATTGGCCTTCCTCCAGTCCGGACCTTAATCCTTTGGACCAGAAATTATGACAGGGCATAGAGAGGAAGGTCTGTGATAAACCTCATGAAAATTTGGAGAATCTGAAGTCATCTTTAAAAAACCAGTGACTGAAATGGACACGAATATGGTGCGTGCTGCGATAGACGACTGGCCGCGACGCTTAAGGGCCTGTATTAAAAATGAGGGAGGTTATTTCGAATATTTTTATGCTTTTTTTATTCCTTAATTAATTTACTAAGAATTGATATATCACTCATTACAAACTGATCAGTACTTTTGTTTTTATCATTATTTCCATTTATGACAGAACTTTGGGACCGACTGCGTACATAGAAAGTCCATTGGCGAAAAGCCAGGTATCGAACCACGCTCACGCCTATAGACCAACACTACTATATCTATCTTACTCTTGCATTATTACTACATTATTACGTAGTTATTCATATAGTTTCTTATCTTAAATGTCACATAAATCTAAAGGTAAGATTCCACCAAAATAACGTACTAAGCTGGTATCGCGTTTGGATCTGTCTCCACCGGCAATGCAGTGTGTAACTTTTGTACACGAACGAAAATATTCTTGATCATTTAAAAAAATACTTGACTATGCGCGCACAATTAAATGTTTTCGCTTTGGTAGCGGAAGCAAGTATGAGTTCGCGAACAGTGCGTGCGCGTCGACACGAGTCCACTACTTGTACTGTGTACCACAACAAGTGCACAGTTGTTCGGGAACTTTTCTGAAATATCCGCCCACAATTTGTTATTGTTCGCTTGAGTGAGTGGACCAAAACAAATATTTGTACGTACGCTGTGCAACACTGTGCCGCACAGTTCAGCACACTGTTGGAATCGTACCTTAAGATACGCAAAAGTTCGTAAACCTCAGAGCAAAGGCTTAAATTATCATACATTACCTTGGATCTCAAATGCGGTGGCTTCTTCACCGTTTTAATGACCGTAATATTTTCGCCAACACCGGTCCTCCATTTCTCCTGCGGCGTCGATTCAACTGAGCTAATTTCCACCACTTTTGGTTTTGAGTCGATTGGGATTATGGACTTGGATTCCAAAGTTGGGGTTGATAACGGTGATGACTTAGATTTTGACTGGAATCATAAATTTTTTTTAAGTTACGCGAACACTTGTAAATAAAACTCTTGTTAAGAATAGGGGCAAACAAGCCTACGGGAAGTCCAAAAGGGGCAGTAATCAACACCCATTTTACTGGATGCGTTGCTGGCCTTTGAGGGACGAGTATGCTCTTTTCTTTAAATAAGTATTCTCTTTTCCTTATAATTTCCTTCCTAGTACTGGTAATTATACATAGTAAAAATATCCTAAGCAGGGTCCTAACACATATGGATTTAAGTGTAAAATTCAGCGCTAAGTATGACTCCTGTATGTCAAGAACGCGTTGGTTTTTTAACTGGGACTCAGTGCGCACTTAGTCTCGATCTTATTCTAAAAGGTTCTATTATTTAAATCATCTAAGACATAGTTATATCTATAATATATGAAATATATTTTTGTTTGTAACCATTAAACATCAAAACTACCAAACTTATTTATTTATTTTCATCAATAGAATGCTACATTATTTTTAGGTTACAAAGCTCTATTTATTTCCAAAATAAAAATTTGTCAAGACACGGGCATTGCTTTGTGAAAAAAGAAATTATACAGAACATTACACGCAAAAGAACATTTATATTGTATGACAAAATGCAGGTAATATTGCTTTAACTATATATTACTAAATACAAAAAAATACACAGAACCTACAAGTTAAACAGATATAATTACCTTCAGTTATATAAAAAAAAATACTTACGCCTTTAGTTCCCATCCTAGCTTTAATAGTTTCCAATTGTTTTCTCGCAGCTACATTATTAGGCTCAAGCTTTAGCACCTGTAATTACAATATGTATGCTATAAACCACAATTATTTATAGATTTTCAGTGTAGATAAAACTTTATAAACGAAAGAGGATTCAATTTTAATGTATGAGCTCGTAGACTTCCAAAAGTCTTCAAACCCTGTACATAAATAATAATAATTGTTCAATATATTTAAATCTCTTTGAAATACAAGACAAATTACAACAAATAAGAAATATTACACATGTAGTACTTTTTACAACTTTATATATCTGACAAATTTAACCACAAAAGTGCACTAAACTAAATATTTCAGTATTTTTTTAAATATTCTCGCCACGGATGAAGATTTCATACAAGTAATTATGATAAATTCTATTATTAATTGCTTTTCACCTAATTTAAAATAATATTTAATAGACAGGAACAAGAACACATTTAATAGGTAAATGTGATTACTTGTGTAAAGCCACAATTTTTATAACAAGTTTTTTAAAATAAGTATTTCTATAAATTTAATAAACTATTCTGTTTTACATAATATATTTCGCTGAGAGAAGAATTTATATTATTTTGAAAAGTATTACAGCATCCACTGATTTTCTAAAAATTTCAGCTTTCAGCAATTTTGCTGGATATTTATCCTATCTACAATATTTAAGGTACTTTCCTTTGATGTCCCATAGTATTGGGAAGCACCAACATAGGAAAAAAAATTTGATTTCTGTATCTAATTCATGATATTTTATTTTCTTAACAGGCCTTTATATCTAAGGTAAGCCATTTTCCTTTACCATATGAGCAACTTTTAATTGTGCATAGAAAGAAAAGTCCCAAAGCTGTGATGGAGATGCACTACCTCAGGGTCAAGAGGCACACTGTTCAGCCTCTAGACCAACACTGCTGTATTTAATAATATATAAATAGTTTATTTATTACCTCATAGAGATCAGCACTGGCCGATCTCAGAGACCCAAGTTTCTCCCGAGCAGTGGCTCGTCTCTGCAATGCTTTTACATATGTCGAGTCCAATTTCAAAGCTTCAGTACAGTCTTTTTCTGCTTGATGGAGGCTGAACAAATAATTATTATTAATTATTATATTGTTTATTAGGTAATAAAATAAAAAATTAAATATGTCTATTATGGAGTATAAGATACAGGTATCACTAATAAGTGATAGGTGGAATACCATGTCATTAAAAAAAAATTCCAGGGAGTTGAAAACAAGTTGAACTGCTTTTTATTAATGCCTTTAATATATAATAATTATTTTCATTTAACAAGTTGTAGTAAGTTTTTCTGTAATTTTTTTTACACACTACCATTTCGCAGATAGTTTGTCATTCAGAAAGTTATATTATTTGTCAAAAACCTATCTACATCTAAAGAGATGTGCCCTAAGGTCAACAAAGAATTTTAAAACGAAACAATATTACCAAAATATCAATGTCTCAATTAATAACAATAAAGTTATTACTTCGCAGCTGTCTATAGTTCTGAACTACTTTATTTACTTAAGATATACCAACAATACCAATAAATACCAACCTCTCCTTCTTAAGATAACAAAGTCCTCTATTAGCATAGTAAATAGCATCATTTTTAACTAATTCAATAGCTCTATTATAACAAGATATTGCATCATCCCATTTCTCTTGCTTCACAAATGTATTTCCCTATTAATAAAAATATAAGAATATTAAAGGCCTACTATATTTCTATAAAACTATGGAACTAATTAAAACAATAATTCTTTATAGTTATTGCCCATATTACTTGATTGACACAGGAATTTGTAGTTATAAAAGTTTTTAGCTTCTGTTTGGTTAGTTAAACAATTTTGCTCAAAATTCTACTAAAGCTTCAGTGACAAATGCCCGCCTTCCACTGCGGGCGGAACGGACCTATTACGGACTCCGCTATACACGTAACAATGATTTTCATACATGTGCCTCCACCAAAGCGGAGACAAGCATAGCGGAGAGAGAGTTGAAAGAGTCACATAATATGAGGTTAGCGAGTTGACAGTTTCCCATGGAAATGAAAATCATTCCCAGTTGTTCATAATTTAAAAACTAAATTTTAAGTTAAAGGCAATGTATTATATTATTTGTATGAATATTAAAATGTTAAATAAATTACAATATTATTTTGATTTGATTTAACTGTTACTGGTTAATGAACAATTCTCAGTAAAATTGTTACTAACTGTTAATAATAATATAATGAACACAAAACATCCATTACCCTCTCTTTCTCATATTGCGCTTCCTCTCTTAACTTGTCCTGTTTCTCTTTCTCACTCTGTTTGCTATCAAGGGACATCGGGCCCTTTGCTGCCATATCTACTTCTTCACATGCTTTGTCCTAAAATAAATGATGTGTTTCATTAAAGGCTATCATTCTTGCTATTTATTTTCCTTTATTAGGCTAACAGGAACTTTAGAAATTTAAAAAAATTATTAATATCTATTATAAATATAAATTTCTTAAAATATTATGATGTGATGAAAAGTACCATGTGTTCTTTTGCTATATTTTTTAATTGATTTCTGGATGAAAGAAAGAAAAAGCTTTATGATTCACTATAAAAGGATATTTATGTAAAATAAAGTGCACTAGCCCCCACACTAGGATTCCCTGTGTTGTGGGCAGCCAGTCTCTTTCTTTTGACATGTTAACTGTACTTTACTTTATGATTTCTACAAAACACAAATGAAAAAGATAAGAACTCAAAAACTTAAAATGCACTTAGATGTTAGACCGAAATACATACCACATCGAATTTCTCCCAACTACTGTAGTCTGACGAGGATATTCTATTTGGTTGCTTCTTTTTCACTTGAATTGGCCTCTCTTTGCGTGTCTTGCTTCTCACTGGAGGTAAATCCTATTTCCAAAATTATGCAAAGTCCAACATTAAACTTATTATTATACAGCAATCGTACATTGCATAGACAAAGATACCAAGTACTAACGCTTGAACTACAAAATAACGACCAAAGTAATAAGCTAAACACATTTTACAAAGTGGATTTTGTTTGCTATATATTATTTAAGACTGTGAGAATACGTTTTATAGTGCAAATGAAGATGAAAATGCCTCTAAACCTGCTCAAAGTTTCCGTTGAGCGCGGCCTCTTTACGTTTCATCTCCGATTCCCAATTCTGCAAGTCTGTGAGATATGTTTGTAAGGACTTCACATTGTCTCGAGCATTTTTTTGGATCTCAAAAGCTTTATCCATTTCTATTGCAAGAAAAAAGGGTTCTTTACCTGCGTTTTGCTTGGAATACCTACTTAATGGAGTTAATGGTTTGGTCGATTTCGATAGTTTTTTTTATTTATTCTGTTGTCAAATTGCCAGGCAACCAGCTGTCAACAAATTACATCAAAGTCATAAATATTGTTTCATAAATATCAATTAGTTAAATAATAAATAAGTAAATATGCTTGTATTCAATAGCTGTTTGGAAAATTAACATTAATTTTAATCATTATAAATAAATGCCTACCTAGTCACTAATCAACTGTCAAAATAAATGAAATAATCACAAGATGGCGTTTTAAATAAAATGTGAATTTTTTGTGACCAAAGAAGAGAAATTTTAATGATTTTAATTATATTTCTTATGGTAAGATGGCGCTTTAAGCAAACTAGAAATTATACCTATTTACCAAAGTTGTCTCTTTAAGTTATAGTTCTTTTCGTTAGATGTCGCCTGTTCGTATGCGAATTATGATAACTTTTTATGCGTATCATAAGTCATAACTTTAATAACGCTGTGCAATCAAAATAAAATAAGTATACTTCTTAAGATAAGATAAAAAGAAGCCTGACCAGAAAGATAAGAGATAATAGTTTTATGCAAGTTTTCTGTTTTAGTTAGCTATTTGACAGTTAAACTGTGAATAACTGGAATCGACTTTTTAATAATAAATAACCATAAGCGGTTCCGTGATGGCGCTATCGGACGATTTGTCAACAGTAATATCGACGTTTAAGGACCAATAGTTTTTTTTATTTCACTTTTTGTTTTGTTTATTGGTCCACTGAGGCATTACTAAATCACAAAGTCGTAGTTATTCGCTGAGAAAACCATCTGTAGAGCCTGCCAACTGTTTCTCTTCTCTTTGGTCACCTCGCCATGAAACGAGAAATGCGCAAGACCAGTACGACCAGCTAGCAATGGTGATTATGACTTCAGACTTGCAGAAGAAGCAATTTAGAGGTTGTAATAATTTGAGAGAGACACGCAATCCATTCATAGACTTTGGAAAACTCTTTTGGGGCGAAATAAAAATGTTTGTCAGAGGACATGTGAACCGTACTATACTACTCAGAAAACGAAAGGTGAAGAGTCTTCTCGCCGAGAGGGCACATTAAGTTATTTCGGCTAAACAGGATTGAGGTAAAATTCAGTTTGTAGAGATTTTTTGAATACCTTCACTGAAGCCTACCACTGTTCAGCTGTGGGTTAAAGACGTAGTTTCAGTGTGGACCTGAAAATAGGAGATATCCAGGTAATAGACAAATGCAAAGATTTTGCCTTAAATAACTATTTTAAAAGTGTCCCAAAAATGCCAAATAGTGCGTAGGATAAAGAAAATTATTGAGCCTGTATGTCGTACTAATCTGATGTATTACGACTAACAACAAATTACCTGTGTATCTAGAACACATTGATAAAGTTTTAAACCGAATAATTTATCAATATAACTTTAAAAAAGATAGAATTTTGGCCATAATGTGAAGGTAATATCGATGAGCATATTTATCAAGAATCTTATTAAAAAATAGAGCCAGGGAAGAGAAGGCAAAGGATAAAGAGGATAGTAAGGACATTGATTTTATTAACGAGACTTAGAGTCGTTAAAGTTTGCCCTTACTCCACTGCTTTAGCGCTTTATACTTTAAACGAAATTGACATGTCATAATTTTACACTCTTCGATTTGACTTCACGCCATTGAATGTTATGGTTAAGAAGTACTTTCGTGTCATTGTGATAGACTATAGAGCGCCTTGCTTGCCGAAGAAAATGCCAATAATTTTTATCCGATGTTGCACGTACCAAATGATTATAATTCCAAATGCCTTTAAACTTAAGTATAAGCACAAAATCACCATCAAAAGTTCCTCGAACGTGGTCACACTCAAATGGAGTTTCGTATATGGATGGAACGGAGCTCTCAAATGTGTAATTCATTTGCATGTGATTTTTCGGTAACTTAAAAGCAAGGCATCAAATCCCTATGAATATTCGATTGCCATGTTTTGAGAAAAATTATGCCGTAATCTACTTGCTTTACAAAATTATAGGTAGGACGCAAAGCTGGTGACCCTACTGTAACAGACTTATCACTTAAGAGCTATTTTTACAACCAAGACACAATTAAAGTAAAACTAAATTTCGACCAGGATTGGTTTGCCTTGCCACAAAGACCAAAAAGATATCCCCTACGTTCTTAATTTTTAAGATACACTGCCCCATTTGTAGAGTGTGAGTGTGAGTGTGTGGTTCAGTTGTTTTTGTTGTTTGTATCTGTTTCTACTAAATTTGAAGATTCGTTGCAGTTACTTTGAAGATTTTTTTAGTTATTAAAGTATATAATTATTAAGAAGTCTTTTTTCAGTTATTTTAAAGTGTAATGAATTTGTGATTACTTATATTATTTTACAAATTTATTATTCAAATCACGTTTATTTTTAATTAATGCCATTGTCATTATATTAATGAATAACGTCAAGTCAAATTAGTGTAAAACCGTTAATAGGAATGGTTAATTTCGAAATGACTATTCAATGGTCGATAAAATAATGACTCCATAGTCATTATTATTATTAAACGTTATTTATCATAATTTTAAATATTAAATCAATGACTATAAATATTAGTAATCTTTGACACTCGTTCCTATGACTGCCGTTCGACTCTGTGGTCGATTCGGGTTCGGTCGTGGAACGAGTATAGTGCTTTTCATGAAAGAAGTCCCGCGGTGATTTTTGGAACTAAATTTGACAGATCGGCATTGTTGTCATTCGTCGATGTTATCAACAAATCAAGTTCGTTTGTTGTGGTAGATTTTTGTGAATTTTTAACTAGTTAGTGCATTTTAAAGATTGATTACAATGCTAACAGTTGTAAAAAGTTCGGCTCGAGAAATGATATAAAGGTGAAAGAGTTCTGTGAAGCGGAACATAAGAATCAAGGTGTTTTAATACAACTAAACAATGTTCGGAAGAGAGTTGCCGCCATAACAGGTACTTTTTAGATTTGCCATTTAATAATTTTTTGCTGTATTGATGGGACTTTTATATATAAATTTTTTGCGACAAAATTGAACAAATACATAACGTGATGAAACTAGGTAACTGAAATTAAAACATATATTACATATTACATAAGCATTATAAACTTAAAGTTATTATTATTTTTAATTATTCATAATTATTTAATTGCAGGTGTGTCAGAGAAAACTGTAACAAGAATAACAAACGAAGGTAACAGCGGCATGTACTTCGAAAAAATTGTAACCCAACAATTATGCAATAAAACTGAATAAAAAAATGTATTACTTTTCTTTACCCTATTTTCTCATCTTTTCCTGTAATGTAGAACACCGCTAATACATAAAGTAAATAAAAATATACTTTTTACATAACAGAAATATTGTTTCATCGAAGTATCAGAAAATAATATTATTTGATAAATTAATCTGCTAAATGTAAATAAAATAGGTAAATTTTTTACTCATAAATGGCAACATTACGTCATGCGATTGAGCGCCGTCTGGGGGACTTCTTTCATGAAAAGGACTATACACGAAATGTCACGAAACTGGAATTACAATGTGGTTGCTTAAATACAGGAACTGGTTGGTGTGGCCCTCAGTTCGATTGAGCGGTCTATTAACTAAGCAGAAGCCTTTAAACAGTAGACTCTCAATGTCGATATTAATGCTGATGCCAACAAACCAATCTACCTATGACAATAAGGAGAAGTATTTGTATAATATAAATAGTCGAATATTGAGGATTCATAACAAAAGTCTTTTTACTTATTAGAACACAACATTTCATCGTTCATTGTGAACATATTAAAAAATGTGATTTTATCATTGTTTGTTTTATTTCAAAACGGCTAACTACGACTTATTTCAAAAATATTTACACTAATAAAACCAATACCACTATCTCACGTTAACTCTAACAGCCCGTTCCCACTAGTCATAAGTCGCAAAGACTAGTCGAATGCTCTGGTCACCATACACTTTATAGAGCTGTTCAATTAGATGAGACGCGACTTTTAGTCTAATACGACTCAAAAACCATCCGACGGGCCAGGCCGTTTTAAGACTAAAAGTCGCTCGAATGTGCTCGATAGGTGCCTGTTTTGCTGTTCACACTAGTCGTGGTTAATCGACTCGAGCGCGTTGTTACCTCTCTCCCCGCCCCGTTCCTAGATCGTACAGCTTGCTCACTCCATTCGTGTTTTATTCCGAATGGCGCGAAACTACGACCTATACGACTCGCGACAGTGTGAACAGGGACATCAGACTTTCGACTTTTAGTCTTATGCGACTTACGACTAGTGGGAACGGGCTGTAACTAGGCCAATCTTAAGCTAATGCTAGGATATTATCGTATTTCAGCATATTTTTCTATTTTTACAAATAAACATTTCAAGTATCTTTCTATTCAAAGTCGAGAAATGTTTTTTTTATCTCCTGAAAAGTTCACTTTATTGAGATAAACACTATTGGAACTTAACCGTCGAATTATGTTTCTCATAAACACAGTGGCGTAACTATACTATCTGGGGCCCGAGGCAAATTCTTTAAACGGGGCCCTATCAATAAAAATGGTAACGTACTCAGTTGAATTTTGATAAACTTTGAGATTTTCAGAGTACTCAATTACACGTTGTATATGTCCCACTAGTGGCCATAGGCCTCCTCCATTATGCGAGAGGGAATGGTCTGTAGTCCCCACGCTAGCCCAATGCGTATTGGAGACTTCACATAACATAATATCTCTTGGGCAGGGGCCCTCTGGGTCGGGGGCCCGTGCCCCGTGGCATTTTTCCAGCTCTGCCACCCTATTGTTACACCACTGCATAAACACCTGACTTTCTACAAATCCAAATTTTTCGGGATCTTTGTACAGTTTTTAACTGCAATATAAAAATTATTGTTTACATGGTAAACAATATTGACGCAATGTTAGATAAATATTTTCTTCAAAT